CCGTACGTTTGGGACGTACGGGCTCGTCCAGGAATTGGAAAGGAACGTGATTCTTGAAACTGGCCTACAGGAAGACCATCTGCTCTTTTATCCATCTGGCACAGAAACACGGAGGTCAGAGGGAGCCAGACCTGTTGAATTCCTGCCTGCCAAACTGCGGCTTCTGTCTACTGGTGCTCAGAAAGATCAAAAGAGCTGGAGCAGGGTAGGGGACGGAGTAAAGAGAGGGAGGGGTTCCAGCGGAGGAAGGACAGGCTGAAAGCAAACAGGGAGTGGGGAAAGGTTGAAATCAAGACATCACCTTCTGGATCTAGGGGTTCTTCTGTCCCCGTAAGTTGTCCTACCGGCGGTGGCCAGGGCAATACTTTAGTCTCCTTTATGTCTACTGCAGGGGGAAGGGACATTATGAAGGTGGGGTGGAGAGATTGGAGGGAAGGGGGCAAAAGATCATGAGAAGGGGGGAGTGAAAAGATGAGAGCAGGGATGGGAGGAAGAAGACAAAATTGGCATGATAACAAAAAAAGATTGAACGAGACAGACAGACAAACAGACATGGGAAGACTGGAGGAAGCCCCCGACTTCAACCTTGCCCCATGTCCCTCGAGCAGGGACGGGCATCGCTGGGCTGGAACGCCTATCCCCACCACCGCTTCACTGCAAGGGGCGGGTGGAGATTTGGAGGCACCTACCTTGTCCATCCTTCGATTCTGGACGGATCTGCGATCCATTGAAACCTCATTTAATGGACCAGGGCGGGGGAGGAGTTGTCTGCTATTCCCAAAGGTCCACTAAATATGAAAGTACATTGCAACTCGCGTTTTGGGTTGGTCCCTGTCGTCTGCTTCAGGACGACATCGTGATGCGAAGGGCGTACGTCGTTGTGGATGCTGTAGATTTAATCCACTCACCCAGAGTAGCTTAGAGGGGTGATGGTTTGTTCGGAGCCTAAGAAAATTTTAGGAGTGGGTCTGAAACAGCCTACACGCCCCTCGCTTATCTGAGAAAAGAGCTGCCAGCTTGCCAGTTAAGAGGAAGGCCGCTAGACAGAGGCCGAGAAAGTCTGTACCTCACCGAACTCAAAAATGAATTGGGTTCTAGAGCAAAAGTCATCCGGTGGTTGAGATTTTTGTAACCGTATCCCTCCTCCTTTCAATAAACCTTGTTAAAAAGGACAGATTGAGGATCTGTTTGGGGTTGAACTAACAGGATGCAACAGGGTTGCATTATTTCAGGATGGAGATGTGTTTCATTGCATGTAAATTCCATTAAATGAGGTCGGTTAATTCAAGGGTTCACAGTATTCTTTCCTTCCCTTTCTCCTACTCATTCTGCAGAAGAGACCCCAGATTTCTGTCCCAAAGTCTTCTCTTCGCAACATCATCATCTGAGGGTGAAACTCTGCCTTTTCTCTAATGGAGTCAGAGACTTGGTCTACCCTCTATCAGTGGATCCCTCTTGACTGAACAATTCTGTCCTCACCTATTCTGTGGTTACATTCATGTACAGGTAGTCCTCGACTTATGACCATCATTTAACAACCATTTGAAGTTACAACAGCGCTGAAAAAAGTGACTTGTGACTGGTCCTTGCACTTACGACCGTCACAGCATCAAAATTTGGGCACTTGGGAACCGGCAGCATCCTGGGGTCACGTGATCACCATTTGCGACCTTCCGGGGGGGCTTCTGACAAGCAAAGTCAATGGGGGAAGCCAGATTCGCTTAACGACTGCATGATTTGCTTAACGACCATGGCAATAAAGGTCATAAAATTGGGCACAACTCACTTAACGACCCCATCACTTCGTGACAGAAGTTCTGGGCCCAATTGTGATCATAAGTTGAAGGCTACCTGTAGTTCAAAGACAAACTTTATGTGCAGTTCACAAACTATTTTACACACAGTCGATATCAGTTAGGTCAACCATTTTTCAGGCCCTAAGCTGCATTATGTCACCTCATATCCATGGTCTAGGAACCTTGCACCAAAATATGGTCCTAATTTTCATGAGTTTTCAACTGTCTTGCAAAAGATTCTGCAAACTTCGGCATTTGTGCCCAAGATCTGGTGAAACTCTGGGGCAAGATTTAGGAAGACTGCACGAGCTCTGAGATTTCAGTTGTTTTTTAATATGAAATTTTTCAACCAAATTGGTTCCACAACCATGCCTTTGATTTAATGGGGCTGCAAACACCCTTTGGGGAGCGATAGCCCCAGGCCCCAAATTGCTGATCCCCAATATCAGTAGACGGCAGGGTACCAATCCTCATTTTCTAGTTGGCACTTTCTGAATTGCCCGCTCTTAAAACAGCAAGATCTCATTCAGATCAAATCCTGATCTGCAAAAGAGACTTCTGAGAGCCGTGACTCACACAGAGATGCAACGGGCACTCTTCTACAAAGGCAGGCCCCTCCCCTGTCGTTTTTTTCTGATTAACCCAGGCTGAGATCCACTTGGAAGAATATCATTGCTGACAAGACGTGGCAAGCAAAGTGGCCCGCTGGACCTCTTATCAGCTAAACCAGAGTGGGACAACTTATGGATCATATGTGACTTTTCTGCATCGCCAGAGCCGCCCGAGAGGGCAGAAAGAACATTTATGGCTCTTGGGGAGTGGGCATCTCTCTTCTTCTTGGATAGATGGTACATACTCAAAGAGAAATCTCCTCTCCTGAATTCTGAGCTGTCCCACTCATTTTTCTGGCTTAAAAATGGACAGGGGGCTATCCTTCCTTCACATTTATTTTCAGAGTGCGAAAGGTTAAGAATCACCTCTTCTCCAGAGCTCCATTAATCTATAATAGCGTTTCTCAACCTTGGCGACTTGAAGATGGGTGGACTTCAACTCCCAGAATTCCCCAGCCAGCTGTGCTGGCTGGGGAATTCTGGGAGTTGAAGTCCACCCATCTTCAAGTCGCCAAGGTTGAGAAACGCTATTATAGATTAATGGAGCTCTGGAGAAGAGGTGATTCTTAACCTTTCGCACTCTGAAAATAAATGTGAAGGAAGGATAGCCCCCTGTGCTGGCTGGGGAATTCTGGGAGTTGAAGTCCACCCATCTTCAAGTCGCCAAGGTTGAGAAACGCTATTATAGATTAATGGAGCTCTGGAGAAGAGGTGATTCTTAACCTTTCGCACTCTGAAAATAAATGTGAAGGAAGGATAGCCCCCTGTGCTGGCTGGGGAATTCTGGGAGTTGAAGTCCACCCATCTTCAAGTCGCCAAGGTTGAGAAACATTGACCTATAGAGTTTTTAAAAAACACACTAAAATACTTTTTTTTTTTATTTAGGAGCTATTCTCTTAACTGGAAGCAGTTACGCTCCAGATGATCCGTGACTCAGCAGGGAAAGGCAACTTATTTAGGCCCATCTTTTGGCCACCGTCCCGTAAGCAAAGAAATGCTTCAAAGCCAGCTGAGATCATGTTCAGAACCACCTTTCCTGATCCTCAAGGGACAAGGTTGTTTGAAAGATGCAAAGCCAGACCAGATCATGCACACACAACCCCATTCCTGCACCCAGAGAGTAGGCTTACACAGCATGCTAAAGCAGAATGAAAGCCGTTGCAATAATTTACCGTCACAAAAAGTGAGCACAAAAAAATCTTGCAGGACGATGTCCTGGGGGCGGGGAAGGCAAGTTTGGGAGTTTTATGGAATAAATTGTTTCTCCTTAACCCTCTCCTCCATTTAAAACCTCTTTAGAAAATGACAGAGGGTCTAATTTGGGGGGTCCACCCCTTCCGGGCAATGACGGTGATCCTGGGAAGCCATTCATGGCCTCCACCCTCATTCTTTATACCCCTGCTCCAAACAGAAGACTTGGAAATAAAAATCAGCATGAAGCTACATTTCAGGATGATTTCCATCCACTCTGCTTCAAACAGGTATTGCAGGAATCACCTGGGAGATACATGATCTGGTCCTTTTTTGTAAATCAGTGTTTCTCAAGCTTGGCCACTTGAAGATGGGTGGACGTCAACTCCCAGAATTCCCCAGCCAGCAGGGGTGGGTGGGGGATTTTTGGGGGTGGCGTCCACCCCTCTTCAAATTGGCCAAACTGTGAAAAACTGATTTTTAAAAAAAGAACAGAACAATTTTTTCCC